AGTTTGAAGAAAATGTATGTAAAAGTTTCCATAGAGGTATTACTGACCTTAAGTATGAACGAAGAAAAGTGAGGTACATTTGTCATGAGAGAGGTTGAGAGCATGATCGATGTTTAGTGCTGTTTTATCAATTGTACATTGGATTGGTTGAAACCCTTTACGAAAGAAATGAAGGTTTCTATTTCAGGCCAAAGTCGAAAACGTTGTCTTTTGAGAATAGTCCCGTAGGGATCAACACCTTGAATTGTTTACGTGTCACTTGTTTTTTTAAACTCTTTAATAGAGGTGTAGAAGAGAAATTAATTAGACAGAGAACCAGGCACAGGTCTAATGCATTATTTGCTTACAAGAACACAAGTGAGAAGAAAGTTTCCCATGTATCAGCTTTATTAGGAGCAGAAAGGAAGACAGAAAAAAAAGGAAGAAAAACGAAAGTTTAGCAGATACGAAGAAAAAAGCTCGGAGGGTTTTTTACCTATGAATGCTTCTTCGTTCACGAATTGTGATGTAAACATTTTTGTCGATGAAAAAAATATGAACTGGCAGTGTAGCTGAATAATTATGATGATTAATTAAACTAAAGTATTGTTCTTGTGTTCAATTTGTTTTGTTTTGATCCATGAATCTAAGTGTCCAGTGAGAACACAGATGAAAACCACGCATGGTTCTGAAATGTGATCCAAAACACGTGTGGTTTTCATCTGTGTTTTCGTGGGGTATCAAAACTCATACTGCAAGGATCAGTTTCATATTCACGTCTTTATCCGCAGTTCAAATATGTGACTTTCATATATTCTTAGCCATTTATTCATCACTTTACGGGTTTATTTGGAACCAACATGACCAGCTCCCAGTTGGCTTGTTAGCTCAGTTGGTAGAGCGCTGCACTGGTATTGAAGAGGTCATGGGTTCAATTCCCGTACAGGCCTGATTTTTTTCAGGCCTTATTTTTCACTACTGCTTAAGTAGTGTACAATACTGCGAGGATCACTTTTATATTCATATACTTATGAATTATTAATGAGTATTAGAGGAAATGGTACAACACTCATGTTGGAAAACATGATGAATTTACATATCTACGAAACCGGTTGTGCCATAAGTAAGTGTTGTATCATTAATCTACGATTTAATTCAAATAGACGACCAGCTGCTATCACGAGTAGTATATATGCATTTATAATAGTGTTTCTTTTCTTCAGGTCATTACGGGCTAATAATTTTTTCCTTGACCGTTTCATTTCCCCCCTTTTTTTTTAAATCTCTCTTCTTTACATGTCGAAGGAGATACACGGAACTGTTTAGTACACAGTAATTATTGTGATTTTATTTTTATTCTAGAATTCCATATCTGCTTTAAAAGAAACTGAAAAACAACCATAATATCTAAAAAATCGGGATAAGACGACACTATCTTTCTGACCGCATTTACTTATACAGATTAAAACACAAATCCGTGCGACCAGCAGTTGAAGAAATATAGCATGGATACTTAACTTCTGAAGCCTGGGATCCTTAGCATAATTAAGAAAATACAAATTAAAATTTGTGAAAATATTGTGGCAGTTACAGGCGGAGAATGTTGTTGTTGTTGTTGTAGCCAACGTTTTCAAGTCGGAGACTACGCTAAGATCTCAGTTAGTACGACCAAAAGACGCTGTCGACCCGGCTAAACAAGATGACTTAGTTAACAGGATTTCCTGTGAATGTGAACGGCAAGGTGTACATCGGAGAGACTAGAAGAACTATGCAGGACAGAATTAAGGAGCACAATCGAGACATTCGACTTGCCCGTACCGAGACCTCCGCCGTTTCAGAGCATGCCCACAACACCGGAAACAAGCCACTCTGGAACGAAGTAGTTGAAATAAGGCCTCGGTAACTAGTTGATCAACTTCGGTAAACTAGGCTGACAAATTTCAAACTAAAGTGTTTTGCAACATTTCAACACACTTTTTGACTTTGGTTGGTTTTCTTTGTTGAGCTCTGGTTATTAGGAAGAAGAAGTAGCTGATTACTGAAAAGTTAACCTATCCAAGGGTTAAAAAGGCCGGATTCTTACCATTTTTCTTATTCTATTTACAACGCCACAACCTTGTTTAACAGCCAGTTCCCATTTGAGGAAAAGTTGTTTTTCTTAGCCTCCATAGCGCCACGAGCATGTTGTACACTTCTCAGCTGCACTAAACATGAGAGGAGACTAACGCTTTGGGATTACGCCATCAGGATAACAGCCACACCAACAACACGACATAATGCAACACCTCAACAGACTGCTAATGCTTTTTAACAACACAGATTCTAAATTCCCATCACAGAGTTAATATTGTTATTTTGAAGTGCTTCAAACTCCATAACTAACCATAACTCTAAAAAGCACCCTCCCCAGAGTTAGCGCCTCTCCCCAGGGCCATAATTTCAAACAAGCGCCACCTCAAAAAGCCGCCGACCTTTAGAAGCTTCATCTACAGCAGAATCATTACAGGAGAATATTTTTAATTTTCCGTTCCAGTTATTTCTATCTCCATCTGCTTGCAGAGTTCCTTTATGTGTGTTATCTGTTCTTTAGGATTTTTTTGCTATTTCTGCGCTATTTCAATAAGTTGTCATCCCTCGATAAAGCGCCCTCCTTCCAATAAGCGCCCCTCCCCCCTTTAGGCCGAAATTTTTAATAAGCGCCCTAATGCTTATTCGGGAAGATACGGTAGTTTGAAGGAGGATTTCAAATAAACAGTATTGCAATAGAGAATATTTATTCCCTTTTTGGCTGATAAAATCTTTTTATAAAGTGATGCTGAAGCACGGATCACAATACATCGTCTACCATGTTCAAGATATGAGTTCAGCTCCACTTAGATACATGTTTCATTTACATTTTCTGTGAATCGTTTACGAGCGTGGTACAGTTCTGTAAATCATTTACGTACGTGGTATAGTTTCTTCTCTGTAGAGTGCAGTTGACTCAGCCTTCGCCTTGTCAAACAATCTTTTCGACATTTAGATATCTTGACCGTACATTCCATGCAGTGAAGATAATTGTCACATAATGTCATGCACGCGTGCCAAACACCTGAACAATGGTTAAGGCAATGATCTGCGTGAGACGTTGATCTCTGTTTGGACTTGCTTGAGGCGGATAACGTCAGTAATAAAATGAAAACAACAGCTCTCAAAGGAAGCTTCATGGTAGCGGCTTTTTGGAGAGAAAGAAATTAAAGAAGATCCGTCAACAGCAAGAAGATGATAGTTAATATACTAAATTAACGCTAATGAAAGCTTGAACGTCAGCAAACCTACGCGCGTATTTTTATTAGAAGGCACTAGATTGTGAAATTTCGTTTCTAGGACCCTTTTGAAACCTAGTTTAACTTATAGAAGTGATATTTTCTATTCCGGATTTCTTGAGCCGAACAGTGTTAAACATAAACACCTACCCTCTGGTCTATTCTAAAAGCTAGGGAAGCAAAGACATGTTCGTGAATCTGATATTACTGACGGCGGCCAAAAGTTCGCATAAGAAGTCTATGAGGGCGCCAGAGCGACTGCGATCATGCTACATCGCGGCTAGCTCATCATGGCAATCTCCGGTCATCGCATTAAAGCACGCCTCAGAATTTACATCGGCCGCCCTTCGAGTGAACGACTAAGCGCTTGCTCTGATATCCTTTCGGAAGCGTTGAGTGGAAGGCCACATCGGTCACAGCAGCCGAGTTTTACGGCGCTGTCATCCCAAGCACTCTTCAGGTTTGAATTCGACTGTCTTCATTCACAAAACACACGCCTTGAGCAGTTTGTTTTTTAAAAAACACTCGCGTTTTTTTATGAGCTTCAGTACGGTCGGATTTCACTAAACTTTCACTCCCAGGTTCTGTGTTAGAGACCAAAAACTTCAAGAAAAAGGGTCAAATTCGACCTGCCGAACTGTGAACTTTGACCGTTTGACATTTTTGACAGCTTTAGTCTTGTTCAACCTATCAGATTATTTGTCTCCTTTCAAGAGTTCTGATTGGCTTATTGTAGCATTCTGCTGACGACACTGTTGTTCGCTTTGGAAATAAATTATATTTTGAGAATTGAAAGTAATGCGTGGAGAATTTAACGGATTCCTTATTATATAACAAAATAGGGAGAGGAAGAAGAAGTGGGGAGAAACACTCGACTACGTCTCGCGTTTCTCCCTACACTTCTTTCGTGCTCTAACCGCTTCCTGCTTGCTTTACAATAGAACAGAGCACAGTCAAAGCTTCTCTACTTGTTAATTAGTTTTCGCGAATCAGCCTAATAATACTCGAGTGAAACATCTTCTCACTAGAGTGCCGTTATGAGAAAGGATTTCCGCTCAAATCACGGTCAATACGTTAGTCATCAATACCGCTCTTTTCATTACCACTCTTACCCGAAAAATTGGACAATGTAATTAAAAACCATACACATTTTGCTGCATTAAAAAAAATACGAATAAGAAATTAAAATCCAAAAACGATGAATGCTGAAAAAAAACCTGAACTAAAATATAACTGATATGGAATGTAAAGATGGGGAAAACGTTTAAAATCTCATTTTTAAAATAACTCTTCATCAGCTGAGAAAAATTTGGTAAATCATCTCTTTCTTAATAAATTGAAAATAAATTGGACAGACGTCAACTGTCTAGAGGAGACAAACAACTTATCTTCAGCATTAAAGCATTTATCACGATCTTGGCTGAGTCGACGTTGGCTTCATATGAAACTTATGACTGTGATAGACACTGAATTGCGATAAAGTATTACCAAAAATAAAGATCCAAGTATCAAATGAAGGAATATATATATATATATTACAAAGTGAACCATTGGAACATCGTTTTCAGAATATTGAAGATATTTCTTCCAGCTTAAAACAAATACATACCTTGTTTGATTACTGAATAAGATGAAACTGGCCTTTTTTGCTGAGAACTTCAGGCAAACTACCTATCGGATGAAGAAACGTGTTAACGGAAAAGATATGGTCATGAAATGCTCTGTTATTTACTGCCAATATACCTTTCGGCCCCAATTAACACCTCGATGTTCAAATCACAACCTTAAAATTTTATTGATTTGAGATTTAAACAAAAATACACGCAGTTGGAAATTTTGCTTCCGTTATTTTTGTTTTTTTTTTCACTGCTTTGCATGTTGTAGGATTCTCCGGTTATTGCGAAAAATATTGTGACAATTGCTCAAATGTTTCTCGCGTACCTGATCCCACGTAAATAATGTTAAATCGAAGACTACAAAAAAAGAAAGAGAAAAGAAAAAATACAACACAGAGATAAATCTGGCAACTTGGAAAACTCTCAGTCTCAATCAGAAGCCTTATGAAAATCTTTCCATGTCAAATGTTAATTTTATTGGGGTATTTAATGCGAGTCGCGCAGGTTTTTCAAGGTAAGTTCTTTCAGCTGTTCTTCTTCTTTTGATTCCAAACTTTGATGCACTGTCGCTTGAAGGCGGCTCTGTTGTGTGGGCGTAACGACAGGAATTTTCTATTTGGTAGTTTGTTTCGTTTTTCTTACAAATACAATAGCCTCTATATTTTTCCTCGGACGATATCTGTTCCCCAAACCCCACAGATTTCCTTGAGCTTCACTTTAGGAAAAATTTGGTATCTTGGAATGGGTAATATCCGCGGAAAAATATTCATGCATATTTTCGCGCAAATTAGAGGCTATTGTAATTGTTATCCTATCCTTCATAAAATTTGCAACGCGCGAGCAAAAATGTTTATATAATCTATATAGATGTTAATATTAGAAAAATAATGACAATGGTCTGTGCGAGTCGCAATACGTTTAAATATAAGAAACAGAGACTAACTTATTTCGTATGGAAATACCTCAATGAAGAGTTGGAGTTTATGGAATGTTTATCAAACTCCCTTTTCCTTCTTATTAACTGTGAACTGAAAAAAACAATACAAAACAAAACATGGGTAACTATCAACAGAAGAGAACGGGAAGCGCAGTGACTCAGATCTCACCACCACTATAGAAAATTTTATATACAATGAAATCATAGAAATCCATTTGGAAAACATTAAACTTAGATTGCTTTTCTCTGTTATTCCTTTTAGCTTGGGTCCATTGTGGTGTGTCATTCATATTCCTAATGATGAGGGTCAGTGTCGATTGGACAATCCCAAAAACAAAAGCAAAATAAAAAGCAAGTAAACTGGTGATCATTCCTGAGGAGGAATGTTTTATATTAATAATGGTTATTTAGAAAGTGGTATCAGAACCACGATTTTCATCACTCTTTTTCAAAGTGGGCAAAGCACCCAGATTTCATGAGCGTTTTTCATTGAGTCTCCTATTCCATCGCCCCTTGACGTCTACCTGTTGATGTATCAATGATTAGCAGAATCAGGCCCTTTCTCGAAAGCGAGACACAAAATGCCCAGAAGAAAGTTGAAAAGGACTTCGACAATTGAAGCAATTATGAATAAAAATAATAGTAATTTTGATTGCAGAAACCAACATCACAATCAAGTGGTTCACAAGAAGGTACTCGCGAGCTAAGACTAAATACTACGTAAGAAATACAGGGATGTAGACAATTTACAAAAGGAGAATAAACAATGAATATCATCACAAACTAGCTAAGAAATGCAAAGAAGTAAGACATTTCAAGATATATACAAAAAGAGGATAAACAAACAATTTCGTTAAAAATCAGAGGAGCTAAAGTTAACTGATGGCCAGTGACCCACCCCCCCCCATCACCCTTGTCATGTGACAGAAATGTTTTGATTTTCAGTCCCCATATAAAAATCAAATTTTAAGATTTCATTTATGTTGTCGTTATAGGAATGATGGACAGTAAATGAACTCTGATTTTATATCCTCCGCAGTTAAGAGATTATTGGATAACAAAGTATTCAGATTGCAATAAACTAAGCTATTAGGTTGTTTTTGGACTGCACCTGAAGAAACAGAATAACTAACCAATTTTGCTGCCGCCTTTATGCATGATATGTTTCCTGTGCATTGGAACAGTACAAGTGCAGGCTAGTTTGGCTTCTTATATGTCAGAACTGTATGGCTCCCTATAGAGGCCTAGTTTTGATAAGCGTCATCTTGTATCTTCTCCAACCATTTGAAAAGGCTTTGTTCTTTCGCCCTCGTTGCGTTCTATCCGAGGTACCAAGGGTGGGGGAAGGTTTGTTTCCCATTCACTTTATTAGGAAATCAATGTTACATTCTTGGGACAAACGTTTCCTTTGTATTAGATGCTCAAACTTAAATAACTAACGTTTCCTTAGTATTAGATGCTCAAACTTGAATAACTAAATATGGACTTGCCTCATATCGAATTTCTTTATGCTAAACATAACTCTCCCCAATACTCCACGGGCACATGACGGTCACGCTCTGGTGGATTAGATTGGAATCTGCACATGATAATAATATGGATTGGGCAACGACTGTATCAGAATCTTCACAGCGTCGCCTTTCTTCGAGCGATGTATTGGAACAGCCGTCCGCTTTAGGTTTCGGATTCACCGACTACAGGTTAGTGAAGACACTATTTGGTGATTTGTCATAAAGAGAGTTTGTTAGAGTTCGACTGAAACCCTATCCTCATGTCCTCTTTTATACTATCAGATACTCACAGATACTCGCAGTAAATTGCAAGCATCAAAATATCGACGCCAAATGATAATTCTTTCATCATAAAGTATTTATTGTCGTTAAATTCGTGTGTTGTCTGATGTAATCATGGTCCAAGGTACAAATGCTTTGGTGAACGAAGTAAAAGGACACGGAGGGAAATAAAAGCGTATGTCAGTTTCGCTTTCCGTTATTACTATAACCTAGCCGTATTTGAGCCATGTTGGTAAATTACTGTCTGGGTTGTAGAGCTACTTTTTAACTCATTAAGTCTCGTGTTCATTGTTGCTGCGTCATGGAAATTAACATGCATGCGTCCCTGCATAATACTTTGATAAGATAAACACTATGTCGTTTGAAAGTTGCCCATAGTTCCACATCATACCTTAGATAAAAACTCGAGTAGCCATAGAGAACTTAGAGAGTAATTTTAGCATTAGTTCAGAGTAAATATTTCCTGCTCTTCAAAACAAAACTAAGAAAGAATCTGAACGTGACGAGTAGGTTTAATGATTGTTTTTAAACGAATGATCTTAACCACGTCACACTTAAAGTTAGTTTTTATTTTGCGGTTACGTTTTGTCTCAACTAAGCAGATTATGCTGACATTTATACATGACTACCCTTGTGACGCAGGCCGGGGGGCATGACCCCGACCATTCTTGAATTACGGTTGCTCTGGGAATTCTTTGATCGATTTTTGTACCAGAGGAAATCATGGTTGAACCGCATAAATCATCATTGAATGTTCGGTTATGAAAATTAAACTGACATATGAGTACTAGGACATGAAATGCATGATCAGGCATAAATACTGGTTTTGCTGAGTTTTAACATTTTAACATTCTAATCAAAGATAGAACCGGACCTGACGCATTCGCCTCTTAAAACGTTCTAGTCACGTTTATGAAGTAAGTCTTCGAACATCGGACACACATTCCAGTTTCAATAAAGCAGACGATTTTAGTGGTACAGTGCTTTCGTCGTAGCGAAAAGCTGCTGACAGTTTGGGCTGAATAATATTTTTTAAAACGCCGAAGACTTCGTTATATCTAAGGGTCGGAAACATCGTGAAATTTGCTGTCTCTCTGTAAGTATTTGCTCTCGGAGTGATTTTTTTAAAATTAATTATTTACCGCCAGACTTAACGAATGTTTTTCTCAGTGATTTTATTTTTTTTCCCTGAAGGACAAATGCTGATGAAATCTGGCAGGAGGTTGCCAAACGATATAAGGAAATAATCGAAAACGATATCAAACTGCGAAATTCCAGTCAAACTATGGCATCATTCAAGGTTACGTCCTTGCAAACAGAACAACAGACACACTCGGCAACATATCCGTTGGCCCAGTGTCCTCAAGCACAGCCAGTAGATAATGAAGAACAATTTCACCACTCAGTTGTCATGCATCAAAAGGAGAAGAAAGATACTGAAACGTTTCCCAAAATTGTTAAAGTATTTAGCTTAAAACCCTCATTACCTGTGCAAATTTTCCGAGATCATGTGACCATAGTCATCTCACCAAAGGAGGCAACTGCCCAACCCCTTTTTGGAAAGTCATTGGAGAATGAACCATGCGAGCAAATTGAGAAGGAAACCTTTAACAGCAGCGCAAACAATGAAGGAGGCAAAATTCAGACTTATTATGACAATAAATGTGTACCAAATTTTCAGTGTACTGGTATTAGCAGGCGAAAAAGTTCGCGTGATACCGATTTTTTAAGGAACCAGCATATATTTGGTATGGCAGACATTGATACAATGCAACTTGGAGAGAAGGACGTCCGAAGTGGTAGCTTGTCAGGAAGAACCTTCATGGAAGAGTGGTTCCAAATACCTTGCAACTCTACACCTGAAAAAAACCCTTTTTCGAAGAATGAAGGAGTTAATGAGGCGGAAGTAATGGTCAATGCGAGAAAAAAAAATGTCTCGGAGCAAGAACTAAGTAATATCGATGCTAATAAGAAAAGGAAAAGAAGGAAAAGGAGGGCCATTTTTCAGCAGGCCAAGACAAGGAGGAGCAAAAAGAGGCGTTTAATTAATGATATCAAGACTATCGATCAATCTTTGATAGGTAAAGAATTCAAAAGCGATACTGTGAACCAAGCATGTTCTCAGGTTGAATACTGTGGCTCATTTAAGGATACAGAAACAGAAATGACGGAGACCACTACTGGAACACAAGGAAGGTCTGAGAAAGATACTCAGGAATCCTTTCAGGATTCTCTGGCAGTTTTTAATGGGGAACCCGTCCCCGGTGAGACGGGGGTGATTTCAAAGGAGCCAGCAGGAAGCAGTAAGGGTAATGGTTATTTCCCGTCAGGTACGATTTCTTCCTTACCTGGTATTGACATTCATCAAAATAGAATTCTTCATCTTAAAGAAAAACTTGCACAGCAGGAACAGGAACTTAAGAATCTTAAGCGCAAAAAAGAGTTTGAAGGTGTACTAACAGAAGAAGCTGAGGAAGAATGGTTTGAGCCAAAAGACATGAAAGACACAGAGTCTCTGGGAGACAACGAAGTGCGTGATGTAAGCCTTAAGGAAGACACAAAGATCTGGTCCGATGGAAAAGAAATCGAAGAGGCTGTTAATATGGGCGAAATGGATGATCTAAAGAACGCGTTTCAGAAGGTGATCAAATCATTCAGTAGAACCTTAGATGGCAAATTGTATTCCACCAGAAGAGTTCCATACTACGCTCACCTCCCGACAAGGAATTATGCGGTAGGCGTCGATTACAAACGTTTTTCTACTGGCATCACCAACCAATTGATACCCGGGGATTTTGATAGTCAGGAAGAGTTCTTGTTTCAGCTAGGTTTGCTGAGAATCTACTAGCCAATAAAAGGAATTCAAGTTGATGATGAAAATAGTGGTCATTGTTGCCTTTAGGCGATACTATCTGCTTGAGTAATGTGCTCAAAAACTAGGCGTCGCTGAGTTTTACCACGCATGACTTCATATAGTATTTTTGCCTGAACTTACGTTGAAAAAACGAAACATTTTGCAGTAACTGTTGAAGTTTCTGCTTGGTTGAAAGGATTAATACGGCATATTTGAGGGCAATTTTACAACAAAGCCCTTAATTGCATAAATTTTCGACTTAACTACAGTAAGAACTTCTGTAAAACTTTTTATTGAGCTAGCAATACCTGCTGTAGCCATCTTTACCAGTTGTCTCCAATCTCAGCATTTACGGTGCCAGAGGATGGAGCATTGTGGATTTAACGTTCAGTCTGTTTGTTTATTTTGGTCAGAAAAAGCTCATGTGATTTAAGTCACGCGTGAGAAATAAAATTTAGAAAACATCAAGAATTATGAGATCTGATTGGTAAAAGTAAACTAGTTTCTGTAATGACTTATTTATGAATTAAAGAAAATGAACAATACGTTTAAAAACATGTTTCGGCAGTTCTTCTGTCATCTTCAGTTCTGAATAATACAAAGTACAAAGTTGAATTTGAAATGTGTAACAAATTGCTGATTGGACAAAACAAACAAAAGTAACAGAACAATGTATGTATTTACAAGGAAAGTTTTTAAATTAACATGATAAAGTTGGTGATTAAGAGTAGGTTACTCCCATGTTAATTTAACTTTCCTTGTTAATGCATACATTGTTCTGATACTATTGTTTGTTTTGTCAAATAAGCATTTTGCTACACACTTTAAATTCAACTTTTTACTTTGTATTTTTCAGAACTGAAGATGACAGGAGAACTGTCGAAACATGTTTTTAAAAAGTGTCGTTCACTTTCTTAAATTCGTTACATATCTGCTTCTATCCAGACCTTTTTTATGACGACTGAATTGCTGTCTTTCGTTTTCCATACTGACAAGTAATTCTCTGAATTAAATAGTGAGCAGCACACTGCGAACTGTTGTAGTTAAACTTGTTTAATTCTGCGACGTGTTTCATCTTACTGTCATACACTTTTTTAAGGGAGTTTCACAAAAAAACACAAAAACATTGTATTTATTAGCCGTGTTACACACTGTATCTGTTATAACGTTCGGGGCCAACAAAATGCAAAGGCTTGGCCGGATTTACAAACTGGAATAGGCGTAGTTGTGAAATGAGCCACGCTTTTAGGGTCGTTACGGAGACATTTCAATTCTGACCATTTGATCGTTTTTTTTGTAGTCAATGTCGGAAACGAACACCGCTCGAGTAATAAAGATTTCTCAACTTAATTGCCTATTTACAGTCTCAAGTTTGATCTTAGAAGCAATTGTTTCTTAACGCGTATAAAAACTAAAGACATGACTAAAAAAAATTTTCAGGCGACACGACTTTTGCGCGACTTGATCGGTTACCCGTATAGTAGCAGCACTACGACTGACGAGAATAAACTTGCCATTTAAGCGGATGAATGAGACAGAGGAAAGGAAGTAAGAGACCAGCTTAATGAAGCTCGGTTGGACGGCACTATTAGTGGTACGGCCAATCGCAACTTGTTCCTATTAGAGGTAATCCAAAGGAATGAGACGTATTTACAATCGAGCCATTTTCAGTTTCATAAGTGTTGATTAAGTACGATTGCGGGCAGGTAAGTAAAACCCTGTTTGAAATCTGATCGAAATTTGAAATTTATCATTGGGAAAAATAATCTCCGTAGAAACAGAGGGCTTTATTCAAGTAAAAAGTAACGAAAAGACAAGTTGGTGAAATTAATACTACCGAAAAGTTGACAGTCGCACGTTCAACTGAGTGATAAGCCCTAATTAGACAAATTTTCAAGTTTCTCATATTTCCTCATTCTAAATTACATTTTCTCGACTGAAGCAACACTTTCTCACGTGAGACTTGCTAAGATGTTTTTTTCCCTTGTTAGGGAGCATCATTAGGCCATTGACCCGAGAGGGGGTCTCCCCCAGTAGACGATAGAAGACTCCACCTTTTACCGCTTTCGGAAAGATTATAAAATTATCGTAACAATAATGATGATAATAATGATAATAATAATAATAATAATAATAATAAATTATAAAATAAAGAGAAAGCACCTTTGGGTTCGAATGCATTTTAGTAATGGGTAAACTTGAATTTTCAGCCACCAATGTGAGGCAGTGTTTAGACTGATTGCCGCTCTGTCTTGCGCACTAAAATCTTAATAGTTCCGTTATGGCTGTCGCTACCGAACGTCGGTCCACGTAGCCAGGAGCCCATCACTAATAGGCTCCTGACGTAGCATACAGAATAGTTAAACTGATCCGCTTGATTCGAACCCAATCATTCTCAGAGGCCAGATTTTGTTCACATTATAGACCGAGTGTAATTCGTTCGGTTCTCGAAACCAGCACTTACCTTCCTTTAAGTACGTATGCAAGTAGGAAATACTTTTGAGTGCGACAACTTAAGTGAGATGAGTTATTGAAGAACACTAGATGGATGTCTCTGGAATTTTAGTGCAGCCCTAAAAAGCGAAGCCACCGGGGAGTGTAATGAAGAGTTATATTTCTACCACTTATCCTTGTCAGTGATATTGTTGGGCTTAAGTCAATTATATTTTGCTATGATATTCCTTACAGAAAAGTGTTTGTTAAAAGATGTCGTCTAAAAGATGTCTTAAAAGCGAAATATCGAGTTGAACATTTCTAGAGCCAGGATCTTTTCAATATTATCTCTATTTTTGCATGCTGCGTGATACAGATATGATAATAACAATGCGAAACCTTCAAATTAGCATAATAAAAGCACGCATGACTGCCACAAGGTACGAACTCTCGTTACTGATTCATGAAGAAAACACCGTCGCACCTTACGATTTGTCCTCCAAAGCGGGATACTCTACGTCTTTCTGACGTCACAGACTAATGTAAACAGATCAAAGTTCGCAACGCTTCATCGGCGAGAAACATCATCGCTCATGTTTCATATTTTTCCAGGCACGTGGGAGATTGAGAACAGCGTGACCTCCTCCACGAACCGAGGCACCTTGTTGTTTGAAAAGCAAGACGTGTTTTACCAAACTTTTTGAAGTTAAACACTTGTAGTCAGTATCACAAGATCCAGAGATCCTCCAACTATAAATGAAAGTTCAGCCTCCATAGCATGTCATCGTACGTTGATTGTTGCGGTCCTCGAAGATCACTCGACAGCGGCACAAGCAAGCCGCCAGACGCGTGTAAATCTTCCTCGAACAGTTTTATCCCGATCGGTCATCGTCAACAGTCATATAACGATAACTCTGAATCAACAGAACACAGGTTTGTGTTAGTATAATTTTCTTTAAAGCAAATTTTCGTTTGTTTTGAAGGGACCGATGGTGTATCCTGCTCGGAGGTCAAGCCGTACAGAGGCTTCGCGCCCTAATCTGTCGCACGACTTAACGAAAGAAAAGCGTGTTACACATTGCACGTTCTTTTAACTTGTAATTTCGAAGATGGGAGGTTTTTGAGAAGAGAGAGAATGCTTCTAATCTCATATTTGTACAGACAAAAGTATAGAAGTGCTCATGCGGAACGTTCCTAATTTATATTCTAACCGAAGTCGCGCCGAAACTCTCGTCACTCAAAGGTCAGAGAACTGTGTCAAACAATGCGCGGCAAATTAAGCGATGTTGTACCGCGGTTCTTTTTCTCACTGATTAATTACTGGTGGTTTGCAGACCGAAGTTCCTGTTTAGGAGATACCTGATATCACAAAGCGACTAAGTTATGTTGTGTTGGAATGTAATAACTTTAACTATTGTTTGCTAGCGCCGATCCCGAACCAACTGCAGTTTTTCTGTCGTCTCAACATCGTCGTTGGTTTGTGTATTAATTGCTAAAGTTATCTATATTTGTTAGGACTTTTGTTTCGAAATTCTTTTTTGCGGGAAAGTGTGTCTTACTCTTTACTAACATGACGAACAAAATAACCACTAGTCACACGAAGTGCAACACGTGACGTTGGTTTTGCTCACCAGTTATCAATCGATAGCATGTGGAGCTTTATTCATAAAAATGGAGGAGTTTATCGTTGCTTAAGCTGAAGAGAAGGCCGAGGTGGCCTGGGTCTCATCGCGCGACAACCCACGTTTCATTTTAATACCGCGTACTTTGAATCTCACGATTATGCAATCCTTTAATGAGAGTTGCGGAAAACTAAATATCCCTCACAAATGTTGTGACAATAGCGAGCGAAGCGCTTTCTTCCAAAGATTCGTGATTTTGTTAACCAACAAGTAACCTATGACCCATAGGATCACCATGCTCACTTATTTTGAAGTGCTATTTTATCTGACGTCATAAGTCTTCTTTATAGTCTCCTTCGGAAGTAACACAGCAGCGGAACGAGCAATCATGCTTCTCAAACGACACTGGAATCTGTATCTGATATCACGATAAGCATAAATTTAGTCACATTGGTCACTAAAGGAAATAATTGTGGTGAAACGAAAATCTTCACTAGAAGTATGCAGGGAATGTCGTATGCAGCCTGTATCAAGCTTTCGAGGAGATCAACGGATTACAGGAGACGATGGTTGAACGCAAACTAAATAGATTCGATCCCGTGTCGAGAAGCTGTAAATTCTTCAAAATTCCACATTCACCACAAATGAATTAAACAACTTTAACAACTTTAAGGTGCGAACTAGATCCAGTTGTTGTCGCACCCGTCCTACCGGTGAAAAAGACCAAACAATGACTGTCTCCACTGACGGAGAGTAGCATAGCGTGTTTAACAAATCTGCCTGGCATTTTTGAGTTGTTTGAAAAAATCACAATAAATAGTAAAATAACTTTTTGTCAGAATCGAGAGGTTTGTTGCCCGCACCAATCAGGTCGCCGCATTGAGGTACGTATCTTACACCAAACAGATCGCAACATTAGGACAGGTATCTCGCACCTAACAAATCACAGCATTAGAGTTTATCTCGTACCAATTAGAGCGCTATGGTATTGTCCCAATATAGTTACAAGGTAACTTTTCACTATGAATTGGGCTTAAGCTCCCTTAAATTACATTTTCCAGTCAACAACCTAAATTATGCGACTATTCCTATACAACTGAAAAAAAATTCACAGGGATCATAACACTGCTACTGGTTAATTTTCCACGTAATTATCACCTGTTTTGACATTTCTACCAACCACATTCGCTCTTAGGTACCATGGACTTAACCCTATCGCGTGTAAATTCCTTATAAACAACCTGCAATTTATTGCGTACTCCACAATAACGAAGCAAAGACCAGATAGTCAACAGGGAGCCCCCCATTGTTGTGCCCAAGTGAAACCCTTTGAAATATGATACTTTATCTTCATTCAATGAAGCTTAACATTGTCAAAATAAATCGAATTAATTTCGTTACATCTGGAACAGAATTAAAACCGACAACACGAACAAAACCGGGACATATCAAACGGAAGTTGATATATTTCCCTCGAAATTCATCTCTGCCCTCCTTTCATCAAAATTTTTAGTTTTTAACCCTAAAAACAGGAAAAGCCAAAGGGGACTTATTATCAGATACATAGTTTTTTGTTTTCTGGTCGCTGGGCCTATAACTGGGAGCTTTTAACGGGGGGGGGGGGGGGCTAATATGCGGGAGTTTACGGAATTAGACATGCGGAAACCTGAGACAAAACAGTTTGTTCTCACTGTAAAATAATGGGAATGATATTTCGCGGAAGCTTACTGTAACCGAATGTTTTCATTCGGTCTCTGACGAAGTGTAAGCGTGGTCTCCTTCGCAGCGGCTATTTTGTCTCGTCACGCAACTATTCTAACTAGGTTACGCTTCAAAACTCTGCTATGTTCAATATTGAAAAAAAAAATGAAACATATTACTAGGACTTAAAAGTCAATATCCTTGGCCCAGATAGGAAAGAAAGACATTTGCTCCTAGAGTTCCAAGGATTCAAGAGAAATTCTGTTTAAGTGTTAATGGCTCAAATATTGTTGTTGTTAACATGTCAAGGTTTGTGACATAACAATGTCGCCTCGGATTACAGACTAATCGATAATTTCTGACATCTCTTCTAGGTCTGACCCAATTTGGAACGAGGTAGCCAAGCGATATCAAGAGATAATTGAAAAAGAATACAAAATATTGGGCCAGTACTATGATGATCAACTGGTTACCCAGAGTAGCGCTGGTTCACCTAAGGTATTAACACAAGTAATTTTGAATGGGCATGACGGATCACGTTTACAAGGAAAACCAAAGGACACGTCATGCAAGCAAACAGAGACGCGTACGGAAACAGGAAATGACACCACCGATGTTAATGACTGCAATAGCAGAGTGCTAAAGAAGACAATAGATAACAAAATTCTTCCTCAAATTGTAGATGTCTACAGTTTGAATTCCGTCAAAACGAACATGAAAACAACTGGAATAGTCGGTTTTCAAGAGTTCAGTCTAAATGAGGGGAACCGTTATAAGTTTCCGTTGAATCACGGTGAAACCGCAAAAAGGGTTATACAAGATCGTAATCTTTGTAGCCCCAGTTCTGTCAAGAAATCTCCGCAGCCGGATAAGATAATAGATCTTACTATCGACGAAGAAGGAGAAGAACAAATTAGTGTCGACAAAGGATCTAATGATATGAATGAAAATATCTCAAAATCCATTTTGGACAACCCAAGTAAGCATGATGAACTAAAGGAGAAAATTGACACAGCTGATAATGAAGAAGATAATGCAGCTAAAACTGAACGTAGCCAAAATAAGCACAAAGACAGAGGTAGAAAAAGAAAACGAAGGTGTCAAACAACATATCGTGAAAGCTTGAGCAAGTACGGTGCCGAGGGATGTGACAGTGAAAGAACTCTGTGCAACAGTTGTAACAATAGCAAGGTTGACAATCGAAATGATGGAAGTGTACAAAAATTATGGGACAAGAGTAATAACAGCAGTTCGAGTAAAGACGAAATGAGCCAAATTACAGAAGACAGGAATCAAACCTTAAGTAGCATCGGTGTTGTCCATGACGCGAGTAGTGTGTTGGACTCGACGTATCGTGCGAACAAGATTACGACACTTAAAGCCAGACTAGCCAAGCAAGAAGAAGAGCTTGCTAGGCTTAGAACTCAGAAGGAAAGATTACACGTCCAATCAAACCATAAAACCTTAGATACACGTGACAAGTGGTTCTCAAGCCTGGCAGATTCATGTGCAAAAACCGATATGGAACAAAAGCAAAATTTTAAAACAGTGAGTGTAGATGACATATGTCAACACGTGTTAAAATCATTTGATATTTTTAATGCTCGCCGGTTCAGGAACAGAAAAAAGGAAAAGGCGGCGCCGCAGTCTCCTAACAATACTTGCGTGGTTAATCAAGATGGCAATGATATCTGCTTCCAAACTGAGCAAGATGAATTTCTGTCGCGAGTTGGTTTGAAAAGAAGGTGTATGAAAAGAAATTGAAATTTAATCAGTTCAGGGAAAGGACATGGTACGGTGTTTCGCGCAGTTGCACAGGATCCGGAGCAAGTTTTGAACATTGACCGTCTCTGCAACATATCCCACCTTAATTATTATTATGCTCTTCTTGTTATGTCATTTTCCCACAAAGAAGAAATCGTATTTTCCAAATAACTAAATTTTCTCCCACTAACTTCACAAGAAGGAAGGAAGTAACTATTCTATACATATTTTTTGTCGTGTTGTATCATTTCCATATTCAACTGTAAGAAAATACTTGACAAATAGAGTTGACATAAAGAGTGCCACAGTTTACCAATATAGCAGGTTTCTTCCTTGACTTGGGTGAGTCAAAATGGGCTGGTTGAAGAACCTCTGTTAGGCTCACAACTTAGACAAGTTTCTACTTGGTAGAGATTTCAAGTTTAATGTAACTCGTTTAAAACTCAAATTGTTTTGCCTTCTGCATCGAAATCTAAAGAACATTATTTTTGGTATAAATCTGTGTTCTCAAAATTAATCTTGAAAAGTGAAGTGAAGCGACTGAGGTTAATACTTCATGCCGAAAAGTGACTCGGTGACGAAAGTTTAATTTTGCTAAGCCTGAAGACAGGAAAGTACCAGATGACGACCTGTCCAGATTAATCAATATCTACCTTGTTGTGTTGCGTCTTTACTGTTAAGCCACGATTCTGATGTCACAACCGAAGGGTCCAATTGATGCAAATGAAGACAGGGCGGTCCCCCTTAAATAGCTCTTCAAATGATTTGCAGCTATGATAAGCGCTGATTAACCCACTTGAAAGAAAAAGTAAAATCAACCAAAGAACGGAGGGGGTGATTTTAAATCGAATCCTGGTTTACTTTGCTTTACTTTAGAGCAAAGTAAGTGGCACATTTGGACCCACAGAATTCACCCGACTCAAAGTAATCTGCACTGATGCAATAAGCGAAGATCCCTTGAAAATCTGAGAGCAATTAAGGTTGCCGTCAACAAAGTCTGGTTAAAATTGTCAAATTTCGTTTTTTTGCTCTCTAGTTAGAGAAAGTAGTTTAGCTTAATTTGCCGAAGAAAAAGAACGCCAGATGCGGCTGACATAATGTTTTAGGGGAACCTGTACCGAAGAAAGAAACGCGTCAAAGTTGGAAAGGCCTCCAGCAGGGTGTCGACGTTTGCGGGGATGGTTGTTGGTTCCAAATAAATCCTCGAAATGGTGAATAAGTGACTGTAAATATATGAAAATCATATATGTGAACTGCGGTTGGAGAAACGAATATGGAAGCGATCCTCGCAGTTCTGAACACTACTTAAGTAGTTGTGAAAATAAGGCCGGGGTTTATTTGAAACCAACATAATAACCAGAGCGCTGCACTGGTATCGCAAAGGTCATGGGTTTAAATCCCGTACGCCCCTGAATTCTTTTCAGGTCTTATTTTTTATAACTGCGAGGATCGCTTCCATATTCGAAAATTTTGTTATTTTCATAATCTTTACTTTTTAAGATTTACAATGATATATAAATCTTATTTTTATTTGATTCTTCAAAACTGGGATAACGAACGATACAGTTTGTAACCCCAACCAAACTGAAAGTTATACAATCATGCCCTAATCCGTAAGCAGCTGAAAGCTTCCGGCTTTGATAATCTCTAAAGGTTAAGACACATCGGTCCTTACCGTCTACGTCACATCCAGTTGTTTCGGAGTATTTCCACGAGGGCGATTTATTTTTCAAGTATGATAATCACGATGACTCAGGATTATCATGAAGTTTTGTTAGGTGATGGTTAACGACAAGGTCTGATTAGCAGAATTCAACCGGATTTTTTCCGTATTTCATATATATATATATATAAAAGGTTGCTTTCCAGTGAGATTGTTGCGAGGCTGCGACCATCGATCTGGAATTGAAGATGTCACGCATCTCGAATTATGACATTCGGTTTTCCTATGAATTATTTTAACTGTTGCTTTGTTGCAAGGAAACAAAACTTAGTTTCTTCCCGTTCTTTTCCCTTTGTCCCCCACTTATTTTGCCTGGTTTCTGTCAGGATTGCCCTTAGATACCATTTCCTTCCGAGGTGTGGGCTGCTACAGAATTAAATTATCCTGAATCCTTGCACTGGTACTCGAAATTAGAAAGACTTTTCATCCTTGCCATTAAATCAACTAGTTCCACTTAACTTATTGGTGCTCCTTAAAAGTCCAAGAGAAGACAAGAACTCCTCTTGCGTGAGGTCATCTTTTCTTACGTCTGGAAAGTGGAAGCACTCAGTCATAAAATCGTGTTTGGGAAACCTTTTTACTTTGCCGGTTTTCTTTTCAAAATTAGTTCTAAATTGCCGTGGAACATCTTTTCTAAGATTGTAGCGATATCGCTTTGAGTTCGACAAACCTGTATCTTCTGGGCCTATTCGTTTACGATTTGCGCTTCTGAGATCTTGGCAAAAATGATTCTTTGTTTCATATGAGTGACAAGTTTGAGTAATTGGCATATTCCTCTCATTTTGACCACAGTCGGACTGCTCTTGTGTTAATATCCTAAGAACTTCTTTTGACTCGGGAAGCCTCGTAATGGTTTCACTCCTCAGCCGGCTAATTGTCTTCTCTTGCTCCGCTAGCAAAGCCTTCAAACTTTGTATTCTCTGGTCTGTCTTAGTTGTTATGTTGACCTCACCATGTTCGTGACCATAAGGGGAATTCAACTGATCGCTGTCATGATCTGAGACGACAGTTTTGAATTTTAATGAGCCAAAAGGGTCGTTAACTTCATTGTTGTAAACATTACTGTCTATGTGCTCGGTATAGTCGAGCCAATAAGGAAGCTGTTCCTCTTCATCTGTTTGGTACAGCCGAACTGAGGAATGGTTCCACCAGTCGTCAAAACCTTGCGCACTGGATATATATATATATAAAAAAACAAAACAGAAACAACGACAGCAAGTAAACATCACGTCGCAGACTAGCCAAGGGCAACGGCTGCAGCACGCTTTGGGCTTTCAGGGGAATAGTTCACAATTCCTTTGGTGAACAGATCGGGTGCAAAAACGTAGGAAAACACTTGAAGGTCTGTAAGACCGGCGATCGGGCCGAATTTTGTGACTTCACTTGGTCACAAACACAGCTTATGGACTGCATGAAAGGCAACGAAAGCGAAATTAAGGTGAAAATGATGTAGATGCTATTTGTTCTCATTTTTCCCTCTATAAGATATTTTGTAGTACAGATTTTCGAAATTACTTCATGAATGTTGACTAGTAAACCCTAGACATACGATGTACCGAATCAATCTGTTTTATTATTTACGCGCGAGCTAATAATCACTATTCGAAGCATTTAATTGAATATTTTCACGCCATGCACTTGTTTACGTGGTTTAGGGACCGTCTGCTATAGTTGAATAGTCAAACGTTATTTTGTTCATAGTTGCACGAAGTCAACTTGGATTTTTGTAACACAACGCAAAACGCGGGGCAAAAATATTTAATTAATTAACTGATATCAAGCTAGCTTCGCTTTAAGCTTGATGTTTTGCTGAGATTGTAAGAGTGCACACTGAATCGTTGCAGCGCTGGAAAAGACACAGGTTGTTTGGTAAACCAGACTCTCGAGAAATGACGAAGATGTCATTAAAACCTCTATTTCGTTATCATGCAATGTCGAGGCCAGAGTCTAATACACCAACCTTTCAATGGGTAGTGTGTCCTCTTCTGGTGTCCGCGTACTTCCGCGGTACGCAGTAGCATCTTCATCTGGGATTTCTTCGACACTGTTCATCAAAACTAAGCTCAAATTGATCAATTTATTCACGTCTTGTTTACTCTCATGAGTAATAGCCTTCTCTTCTTCAGAAAACATGTTAAGTCTGCTTCCATTTCCCTTCAGCGTTATTGCTTTTGTCAGCGTCGGGTTTGCTATCGGATCCGCGGTCATTTGCGAACCCGGAAACTTCGTACGAGCTTTTCGGTTCTAGTTTCGTTTACATTCGGCCCGGTTTAGTTCAATATCGGCAGCGTTACTTTCACAACACGAGACAGTAACAAATGCTATCAAAGCTGACTGGCGAGTGATAAGCGATACCTTTGATTTGAAGCTTGTAGCAAAAGAATTCTAATCAAAGCATGTCATCTCGTCGAAGATACCGCTGTAATATTTTACCGTGTGATGTAAGTCACGGCTTCCTTGTCCTTTCTCCTCGAATCAACAACGGAGACAGAGACGCTTGATTGAACATTGAGTATTTAAAGGTTTGCAAATTTAAAAAAGAATCATAATTAAATATTGATCACATTCAAATATAAGCAAAATAGAATTGCGTCCTGATTAATGCCATTGTTTTCTCTGCCAATCAGCCGTCCGTTAAGTGACGAGAGAAGAACGCCACATATTTCAAGGGAGACACAATACAAACAATCACGTCTGCCCACAACTGCTTTCTTAGGTCAAAGACGCATAACTAGATATACAGCACCTTGTTTCAACAAAATTTGATTGAAAATAAAGAGTCTGTCGATGCACTGTTTTCAAGGTACTTTTACCGAGTTCTTTTAAACCTATCCCTGAGGGCATCATTGTCCCAGTACCTAACCGTTATTTGGGAGAGGTACAGATAGATAGTTTATTAAAACTGCATCGCAGCCAAAGGCTGAATTATGCAATTATTGCAAAAAAATTTACCATACTTGAAATTACAAATGAATCCTAGAAAATAAATCGAAAACTAATTTTTAAGACAATATTAAAAAATTCTATATAACATATTCATATTGAAATATGTTGAAAGATAAAGTATGAATATAAGTGGGATAAAACTACAGCCCCGACTGTTTCGACATCGCATATATAAAAGTATCACTTGTTCTGTTCGTGCAAAGCTTTGGCATGTTAAAAAGGCGCTGTCTTCTTAGGTTATAGCATGAGTTGTCATGGTCTGGTGGAAGGAGCGCCTTCAATTTATGGTTTGGATCACTGACAATGTTATCAAAAAGCCTGCTACATAGTACGTAATAGTGCTCCAAAATGGGTGTTAACCCCACCTCTACTACCGAGCTGCACTTTCCTGAGGTTATTATTGATATTGCTTTTTCTCGAGCCGTACCAGCTCTTTCTTTAAGTACTGGGGGAGACCAAAAAAGATGGGTGCTGCATAATCAACAACAGATCTCACGCACGATGCGTAGAACAGTGCTAGATCTTGTTTCGGAACTCCCGCTCTAACTGAGTTAGGAAGTAGAAGTAGGAAGTAGAGTCTCTTGCTAGCCTTTTTGGTTATCTCAGTTACATGGTCGTTCCATCTTAGATCGTTCGCCATTGTAAGGCCTAGTAGCTTTGCACTAGTGACTAGCTCTACCTTCTTCCCTTCTATGATGACGGGATCAAAGACTCTTTGCTCTTTAGCAAAGAAGATCCTGAGTTCTTTGCACTAGTCGGCGTTTGGTTGGACCCTGTTCTCTCGAGACCACTCAACTACTCTGTTAGCTGTTGCTTGCGCGTGACTTTCTCCGCCCTTTACTACTACCTCAGATACCGTGGTGTCGTCCACATATTTCCATTGCTGTGCGTTCGTATCAAGGTCGTTAATCATTAGGACAAACAACAACGGGCCTAGTTTAGTACCATGTGGTACGCCGGCGGGGACTGGGCCCCATTCAGAAAAACACTGATGCAAATTTAATCCGCAAGGATCTCTCCGATAAAAAATCTATAATCCAGTTGATAATGCGAGCTGGTAATTTACACTGGTTATGCAACTTTCTAACGAGTACATGAAACTCAAAGAAGTCTCTCTAGGTCATCATTTTCTCCAAAACCTTTTATCAAGAGTTTAAGCGTGCGATTGTAGTGAACTGTTGATTGTTCACCATGCGCCCACGCCAAACCACTGATTTTCTGTTTTTATAACAGCAACTCCCTTTTTTGTGTGTTCTAGTTTAGGAGTAAAATTAACGGGGTCATACGGACGAACGGGTCAAGAATCCGCTGAAATTTGGCTTCGTAGCTCAGTTGATAGGAGCGCCCGACTGGTATCCGTCACCATATTCCCACCAATAGCGTAGCTCCATATTCTGAATATAAACCCACACACAACGCACAACTCCTCCAATCGCTCTGACGAAGGGCTAACGTTCGAAACGTCAACCTTTCAGATATCTACGGTGGCCAATTCACGTTTTCAACTCAGTTGTTAACGCTGAATTATCTAGTATCTGGGAGGCCTGAGTTCGAATCCCGTCGAAGCCTAAATTTTTTGCAGGCGTCTTTTCTGCAAATCCGCCTTTGAAGATCATTTTCTTGTTTAAGGAGATCGAACAGTCTTGTAGGCTTCACTGTTGCCGACATCTACCAGTCATTTCTTCTGCTGTCTACCTACCTAGTGCGCCAGTAAACTTGGGTATAAACTAAAGTACATTTTTTAACGACTAGCTCCCTGTAAGGACACATGGATGGTTCTACTTTTCGTAATCTTAATTTTTACGCGGAAGACAAGCTAAAATTTAATTTCATAGACCTTTAAAAAAGATGAAGTTCAGACATCCTCGATCTTTTTTTTTATTTCTTCTTTTTATTCCTTTGTTTGTTGTTGTTTTTTCTTTTTTCACCATCACACTAGCAGTCCAGATTATTTCTTAAAGTCCACTTTTCCAGTCCTGAATTTCCTCAGGCCGCGGGTCAGCCTACTATGAATTGCCTAAACGTAAACTACAGAACGTGTGTAAGAAATTTGAAATTTCGAGAGAAAAACGTCGATTAGGACCGTACGGGAGCGTGTCGTGAAACAATATGAAGTTGCTATGGGGCTATATGTGCATCGGAAATGCAAATTAGTTTATTTCGTTGACCTCAGTCACGCAACCGCTCTTGTAATTCATATAAATTATTGTTGCGTCACTGTTGACGAATGCGCGGGCGGGCGAGAGTAAGGCACGAAACTCATAACCGAAGGGACAAAGCTGACGTCAGGTGTTAGGAACTTTTTGGCAAAAATCAGCTTACACTCAGGAAAAGGCTCGAGATTATGTCAAAGTCAATTCAACTTGTAACTTGATTACGGTAGGGATCTAGTTTGAGAGCAGTAGCTGGGCATCTTAAAATAACGATATTGTCCTTTGGCTTGTTATTATTCATGCATAATTCGCAGCGGTGGTTAAGTTGTGCTTTCATTTGTCAGTCGCGGGTTTGCGAGGCAGTTTTTATGTTGACTCATATTTTATTGTTAAAATTATCTCAATACCTAGCATGGGAAATGCTGAAGCTGTTCCACACGAAAAATTGATGAGTTCTTCAAAACCAGGCAACGCGTTTTCACCTGTAGACGGGAAATTAACGACTGATGTTCGCTATGGCACGTCTTCTCAAACCACTACAGGAACTGACAACGAAATCGAAACAAATGGAAATCTCGACAAAACCACAGAGAGAGGAAAAACGATTGTAACAATCGCTGACGATCCTGAACCCCCCTTTTCAAATTCTGTTGCGTTTACAAACAGGTAGGTGATATTCGCTACAACAATTGATTACTGCCCGTGCCAGTGTCTGTTTTTTCGAGGCCATTCGGATTTGTCGAAGGTCATGACACTCATCTACAAAGGAGGTTGTTGGTGAACGTGTTTACTGAATGTTGATCATCCACAAAGACATGTGTTGAAAGTAATACTCCTAAATTGAGAAATCGTTTAAAATAAGAAATCGATGCTCAATAAAAAGGGAGATTGAACGACTACAGTACCTGTATCATGGTCAAGTTCTTGTCTGGCGAGACAAGATGTCACGCGCTGGAGAACACGCGCTCCTCATGAGTGTTGTTAGGACAGGAATAATTAAGAAATCATCAAGGGCACCATTTCTTTGTTTTATGCTGATGGTTTTGTGAGAGAGCAAACTGGTAAAGTAACGGAATCTCTGTTCGAAGGATAATTCCGCACTTGAAGTGTGAAGATTTTAACCGAGCTATTGCTCGTGTAGACATAGCATGCTTATCATTTGCGTGCCTGCATTTTAATGAAGGTCAGCTCTGTCGAGACAGCTGAATGAATACAGGTTATTTGCTGATGAAGAAGACAATTGAAAATGTTACTGGACTGTAACAATTTTTCCCTATCAGTTCTTGCATACTATGTCTATTTTGAAACCGTGCGGCGCTAAACAGTTATCCCAGGAGCAAAAATTCTTTATTTGCAGCTGCTTTGGCTGCCATGACTTCAATCTCGGGCGACCAACTGGTAGGATAATGTCACGCAGTTGAGTTCCATATATTTTCATATCGAGTTCCGTTTACATCTTTTTCGCCGTTTTTAACTTCTTCTGTCCACGCTTTACCATGAGACACCTGGTGCGAGTGTGCGGTTTAATTCAGATTATTTCAGAACACGCAACATGTTTTATTTTTCTCCAAGCGAGCCACTTTCGCACCTTAAATGGTTTTAATTGTTGACGTTTTTTTAACGTCGGTTCGAAAGTTTTGTTTTCTGTTTTGGTAATAGTCATGCCCCAGACATAGAGATTGAAAACGAAAGACACGTTGCTTAGAGCCAAAAGGATGAAAATTTATGTTCCGGTTTATTGTCGCTTTCCTTTTGGCACACATGCTTTTGTTTTCTTTATTTCAATTGAAAAGAACTGGTTTCTTTCAAACAGCCATAATAGCGGGAAGGTAAAACCAACTTCGTTAAAACTATCAATTTACAAATAACAGGAAGAACACAACAATTTGGATTCTCATTTGATTTTTAGCCATAATGATATTTCTAAGAAGAAAGAAAGCAAGCTCTTGTCTACAAAGGCCATATCAGTATGTTTTTTACCGACATGGCACAGCTTTGGGACAATCCTGCTTGGTGATCAATTGTTCACCTCTGTAAGTGAAAAGAAGGCGCCTACAGTTCATATCTTTGGAATTCGCGCTATTTTCGGGTTAAATTCTGTTTTGATTACGCCTGTAAAATAACAACCTACTAACTACCGAATATTGAAATTATAAATTACCTTTAAGACGAGTGCACTATCATTTCGAGATTTTCCAAAAGTGAGGCCACTGTCGAACTTGCGTTATTTTGGCGGAAAAACAAAGTATCCTTCAATGTTAAAAGCCTAGCGTTAGCGAAAATGGCGTATTTGCAGAACGAGAAACTGCCACGTTAGCGTTCATTTTTTTTGGGGAGGGGGGAGGGGGTCTCCATTCCGTCTGATGACAATGAACAACTTGGCAAGGTACGTTGCTCATAACAAAAACAATGATGCTACATGAAGTATTGTCTTTAATAGAACAGAGCAATTACCGCACACCCAACTTAAGTTCCGATTTCATTTGACTTGGTGTTTACTTGCACCAACGTATAACGACCACTGAAATCTAGTCCTTTTATAACTTTTATGACGCGAGTTTTATTCACCAATCACAGACTGAAGATGCAAAGCCAACGCAATCTCAGATATACTCGACACAATTGAAAATTGCTGTAATATAGTTTTTACTGCATTACGCCATCAACGTGAATTCAAAAGGTCGAACTTTTAGTCGAAGTTGTCCAATTCATGTGGTTTATGTAGGAATCTACGACTAGATCGACTTTGAGCACGAAGTTTAATTTGAGTTTGACTTGACTGATAATGAGCACTGATGTTTTTATGCAGCAGCTCGTCAGGAAGTACAGAGCAGCAAAGACGTGTATGGGAGGAGGTTGCGCTAAGATACCAACAGATCCTTCATAGAGAATACAGAATGATGAACTTGCCTTCTTATCCAGTGGAGGGAGGTAATGTGTACCTTTACTATGTTCCTGTGATAGTAAATCACGGGTCTACAACTCAGTCTTTAGGTGTAAACTCTGAACACCACAGCACAGAGGCGGCTGCTCGTGAAAGCAGAAAGGAAAAGGATGACGTCATTTATATTGATGATAGTGACGACGACATCCATAGTGATGTCAAAGAAGAACCATCTGAGCTTGAGGAATCATGCTCTTTTAGAGAAAGTGCTGGGGCTGAAATTCCCCGTGGAGTCACACCGCCTATCTTTGAAAAAAATCAACAGCAAAAGTATTCTCTAAACAAGTTGGAAGATCCTGTTTTAAAGGCGAACGGAAGCCTGGATCAAAGCGAATATAACCACCATTCTGAGAGTTCTAGCGACGAGAGAGATGATCCCAAAACAAGTATTGATGACAAAAACAGCAAATACTGTGATGAGCACGATACTCAAGTCACAGAAGACCATATTCGCATTTTTAAAGGCTATACAATAGAATACCATCCAATTTATCGTGACAAATTCATGAAAGAGCCGAACAATCCACGAAGATCCCAGCAGTATACAGAAAGAGATGAAAAGATACTGGACTTGAAAAAACGTCTAGCTGAACATACAATAGAACTGGAAAAACTTAAGCAGCAGCAGTCAATAAAGGAAGAAATACCGAGTAATGGACATTTAGATAGAATTTACCAACAAAACAAAAAAGACAGACACATCAAAGGAGAAATAATTGAATGCAGCAAATCTTCAGGGGATCGAGAAGTGACGGTATGGCCTAAAGACTGTCCCTCTGCTCAGATTCATTATTTTCCCTCAGGGGAACGAAAAACAATCTTTCCAAGAAAGAACTCTAGAAAGCAAAGATCGCCTCGCAGAATTGATTCTCCTTTCAACGTTAAGATTGAGAAAAAGGCCGATGATGTAGGAACTGTTCCAACAGAGATAGCGATTAAAAATTTGGTTTTGAAGAGAAAGCTCAATCTACCCAATGGAATATTACAGGAACAGTCGAGTGACGATAAGAAAGCCAAACGAACAAAGTGTTCTAAAAAGACCAAAATAAGACGGAAGCGCAAAAGAGGCCAACGAAAGTCGTCGACTTTCAAACTTAAAGGGACACAGTCTTTGAATGATAAAGCCCAAGAGGAACTTAGCCCTGTAACAAATTTAGACAGAGCTTGTACCCCTGAAGACACCAATCAGGAGGAGTTCCTGTCATTGTTTGGCCTGCTGAAAATGAGCCAGAAGCAGAGTTAGACACTTGAACTTTCATCCCTTTGAAGGAACTGTAACTAACTCTGTTCAACTTTGTTTCTGCAAGTGAGCTTTAGTACAGGGTGCCGTAGTAAAGGAAATGGTAACCTATGTCCGTTATGTTGCTGACGCCGAAAAGACAATGAAAAAGCCTGGAACTTTTTTAATTTCAAGTTAAATTTAGTAAATTTCCGCTTTCTTCGTTTTTCAATTTTTAATTCTTTTATAAACACATTACTATTTAAAGATTGGTTTTTATGTTTCCAACAATAATAGTACTTATTTATCTCAGGAATATTGCGAGAAATCGTCTTCACGTCGCTAAAGTGGAGTTTTCATAACACCTGAGAGATGGATGTTTTCTATTAAAATAGATATTATTCTGAACCATACGCTATTACATACTATGCCAGTATACTCTCACAAATTATCTTAATCTTTCTCTTTCTTTCCGGTTATTATGTTCAGAAAACAGTGGATCCAATGGCCATTCAACCTTTTTTTCGTGTCAGTGTTCTTTCAAAAGTATTTAAAACTTTATGTGGTGTTGAACGCCTTAAAATGTAATTGAACTTACAGGTTAGTTTCACTCTTTTGCCCTCGTTATTAGTATTAGAGTTTCTGACCCAAACTTTGGAATGGATTATTTCTCTTACTCAGTCCTCCTGATATCTGATTTCTATAATTCCGTTAGTTGCTCAGTTGACATTTAAAGCTATGGTTGTGTTTCTGCTGCCGCTACAGTCGACTCAAGTGTCGAAGATCCATGCAAGGTTTTATTTTGCCATCTAAAACTCTTGTTAAAAAACGGTTATCGACTGTAACTAGGATATTTATATTAAGCGAGTTTGACTTTTTAAGACTGGTGTCTTGCCGTTATATACGTTCAGCTTGGCAAACGAGAGGTTGTGCAGGAATGTTGAACGCAGTTGTGACTCTTGAGTTAATGTCTATATCAATAAAGTACATTTTTCGATAAATTGGCAGGCTGTATTAACTGTTTATTTTATATCACCTTATGGTCTGACAAATGAACTCTATGATGGCATTTACTACACTCTAATCGTCCAGTTAGCACAACCCCAAGTGCGAACTTCTTTCGCTTTTTAATTAGCTCTAAGATTGTACAGCGAGCTATCAAAACACCTAAGGTATGTTCATAAAGGCCACGATCAAACATCGAAGGGACATGAGACAAAAAACAAAATTGAGCAAATCAAGCTCTCGCAATAAGTAGTGGAATTTTACAATCAGAATTGTATTAAAAATTTTAGAATCAGTATAGCGATGTTGCATTACTTTGCCCGAAAAACAGGTTTTAAAATGTACATGCTTTAATACCAAGATGGAATTTAAAGTGTTTGGAAAGACTGGAGAACCTGTAGGAATGACCTCGAAGCAAACACGAGACGCAGTGGCAAAATTAGATTAGGGCCGGCGGGAGAGTCAGACCAGACTGCATGAATGGGTCGGAAAGGGGTCATCCCACGATTGCGCCTTTCTTGCTCCATGTTGAAGGTTCATCCACTGAATCACATAATGGTTAGCGAAAGTACTTGATTGACACTATTATTCAAACAGCTTTTAAATTTCACTTTGGGCTCAATTGTCTGTAAAATGCAGACCCAAGTCTTGGTTTTTAACTGTCTAACGTCAAAGATGTGTTTACTTTTTCAAGTTTAACCAGGTTACTTGAACGTATGTATCATTCTTTGGGCTTAGTTTTGAAGAGTCTTTAGTCGTCAGTTTTGGTACACATGCTTCCTGGTAAAAATTTCCTTGGTCCACTACAGACGGTCGTGCGAAGAACGTGCCCCATGGCCTGACCTGGTGCCGTCTGACCTGGTGCCGTCTGACCTGGTGCCGTCTGACCTGGTGCCGTCTGACCTGGTGCCGCCTGACCTGGTGCCGTCTAACCTGGTGCCGTCTGACCTGGTGCCGCCTGACCTGGTGCCGTCTAACCTGACCTAAACTGTGATCAGTTTTTCAATTCGTAACGCTGAAAGTTGTGAAGAACTGATTATGCGTGAAGCTGCTCTCTGTAATGAGAAGTCCATCTTTCATGTACCTCTTTGCTACTCATTTTATCCTCTAGAAAGTAGCGCCCGATCGTAGTTTCGTACAACACACACATCTTTGATCGTTCGCATGTGAAAAAATCTGATTAAGGATGAGTGAATGGACAACTGTTTAACTAAAACATTTCAGGTAGAGTACCTAAATATGGGCACATTGTTAAGGTGAAATGATAACGATTGTTCAAATCATAAGTCTAATTCTTGCTGAGTGTCACGAGTCCTTCCAATGCTGTAAATTCAGCATTACTGAGGTTCTGATCTTCGTTTTCAGATAGGCTACCGCTAGATTGCCTTTCGTTTTCTTTCTCCTTCTCAAAGGGGGTTTCATGCCCGTGCTCCTCTCCCTCATTCCAGTTTTGGAGCCATCTCCGCTTCAACGAATTTCCCAAAGTCGTCCCTGATGATGAGTTAGAGTGAGGCGGGTCATTGCTTTTGGTTGTGTTCCCTTGATCACCTGATTTCTGGGAAATTGCTTCACTTCTTACAGAGGGTTTAGGAATAGCTTTGTCGTTGGAAGAGTTCTTTCGAAATCTCAGTGATTCCAGTGCTTTCTCTTGTTTAGCAAGCAGATTTTTCAATTTTCTTATCCTTTCTTCACGGGCAACCATTTCTAAATGTTGGGTTTCATTTTCCAATTCTTCATTGTCGGTGTTCCGTGGTGACTTGCTTCGAAGCCCATGGTCATTTGGAAATGAATTGAAATTGCCCTTTGCTCGTTTGCTTTCAGAGCCACAGTTATCTACCGACGTCGGTGCCCTTTTCATACCTTTTTTATTTTCCGCCATAGATGTTCTGCAAGTTTTCTCGCCTTGAACATATGGATAATTCCAACGAGTAGCATTGTGTAAATAAGAACGTCCGTCAAATGTATTATGTTTCTTTAAGAGTTCTTCGAGCTTTATTCGCGACGGCTTGCTTACCCGGCATGGTTGGTCTTTCCTTTCGTTAACACTTCGTTTATGTTCCCTTATTTTTGTATTCAATCCACTTCTCTCTGGGTAGATAGTTGGTATGTGCTGTGGTTGGGGGTGCTGAGGCTGTGATGACATATTCCAGTCTAGAGCTCTCTTTAGTCCTTGGTCCTGGCATCCCTTGTTGTTATTTTTGTTGCTTTGTTGTTTGTGTCCTTCCTGGCCCCCTTGCACAAGCTGAGCGTTGTCTTGAGCTTGGTACACATAATATATACTTGAAGCATCATTTCCATTCAACATTTCACTTTTTCTCCGTAAGCGTGGGTCTCTACTGAGTTGTTGGGTGGGATGAGGTTGTTGAATACTTGATAATTTCAGTTCAGTTTGATGATTGCTAAAAGAGTCCAGGGAGCCATTCCATGCCCACTGGTTTGTTTCAGTTTGGTTTCCTTTACCAACAGGGCTTATGCTCAGCATTCTGGAAAAGGTATTTGTCCCATTTGAACCAAGCGTAGTTGCATACATTTCGGACATTCTGTTATTGTTATTGTATTGTAAAGGAGAGGAAATTTTGTCACATGCTGGTTCCGTGAATCTGTGTTTTTTTGGCCACGATGAACCAGTGCCGTTTCGTAGCTGAGCGTTATAATGATTTGTTTCTTTTCTGTGTTCCTTAGTTTGATGCTTATGAATGTATTCGTTTCTAGTTTGGTTGAAGAAGGATTCATTCAGGCATAAACCTTGACGTCCGTTTTGGATCCCACAGGGGTGCTTTAATTCCATCTTTTCGCTGGCGATAATACATTCCGGACAGCCACACTTCCGGTTCAAATAAGGTAGATGTCCTTCAACCGCTGACAAACAACTGGTGATTCCTTGCTCGTCTTTATCGTTTGCCCTGTACAATATCAAGATGCAAAAGTCTATTCACCTCTTTAGAAGTCACAAAATCTATCAAGCACTTTAAAATTAGGCGGCGGATCTAACTTTGCCAAATCACTATTTGCAACCCTCACATTAACATGAGATTTATAGAGGTAACTTAGTGTATAAGTGGCACCAAAGTGCATCTAAGCAATGTAAATATTATGGTGAATAGTCGCAATCAACTAAAGCTTTGTCGAAACTTTCTTGCCGGTAGAGCTCTCTTTGGATCCTGATTCGTTCCTTCATTCGTTAGCGCACTTTCAAAAGGACCATTGGTGAACGAAACTTACTTCAAGTATACTGCTTATTCTTTTTTATTATTATTTTTTCGCTGTAGCAGCAGCTTGTGCGAAACAGCTCCAGTTATCAACCTTTAAATGCTGGAGACTGCTACAAACTACAGTCTGTTGTGTCAATTTTGGCTCCTTACGGAATTGTTAATAAATATTTATACGAAGTTCAAATCGGCGTTTTGTTTGAGCCCTTAACCGTTTTAATGACCGACTGACAAGATAAAGACTCTGAAAGAACAGAATGTATTATCAGTTCAAGTCATATCGCATCTCTTGTTATTTTCAAGTAATATTGGATTCAGACGTGGCTTACAAAGATCTATACTCGAGCCTGCGCGATAATTTGGTTGGCTAAATAAATCTAATGATATAGCCACGCATTTCTGCCGACCGTTTTGAGCAAGAATTGTGCTTTTCAAAAATATCTTTTAACAATTGATTTAAAGTATAGTTTTATAAGAGTACGCTGTGAAGAGAAATTTATCATCGAAAAATGATATCAACAATCCTCTAAATTAGTGGGAGCGTTTGAGAGGCTGGCCTGCAGCACACAAATGTGAACAGCGAACACCTGTTCGAAGCAACAGTAATATGTCTAATCATTTTTTTTTAACACGAGACTTGAAATTCTCAACAGGAAGCACAACACAGAAATATAAGTCCTTGTACGGAGTTTATTTTGATCGTCATTTGCGTGGTGTATCAGTGTTTTCAGCCTATGAAGTACCATGCGAACCTTCAGTAATACTCACAAGAATAATAACGTCATCAGAAATGAATTATTTTATCCGCTACTTTCTCTAAAGCTTTGGTCATTGATGGGCAATGAAATAAGGAAAAAGCAACGCCATAATAGCGCTGATCTCTGGCGTCTAGAGTGAGAAGTTCAAGATCCATGAAGTAGAGTTTAGTAATTGTGCCTAGATGGTAAGACTTCGATCCGTTTTAGTTCTGAAGTAATGAATACTATGAACAGAAAGGGTGATACAGGTAATGAAAAAGGTGATAAAATTTCCTCTGGAAAGCTTGTTTACGAATTATCCGCGGTAAGCAATTTACCTGCAGGTCATGGTAGCGTTCATCTCACAGCCATTCCTCTTTAGTACAAATGAGCCCTGCTTCTTCGCTATTCCCAAACAATCGGATGAAATTGGAGAGCATCGAACAAGTTGGTTGGTCGACATCAGCTGGATGGATGATTTTCGACTTAATTTAATCGAAGAAAAGCAAAATGATCAAAATCCCTGAATTCAGATTACAACAGCAGCGACTTGTTTTCAGAGAGCAGAGAAGAACAAATACGTCGATCAAACTGCGAACGAGATTCACCAGGCAATGCCTAAATAGAGTGTTACCGAACCTTGGTGTTTATAAATATATATAGCAAGCATATGTGTCAGAATTTTCACTTTCAAATACTATTAAAAGAGAAACACTTTATACCACGCTTTCGGCATTAGACACGCCGACGAACAATTTTATATCGCCAAACGGTGGCAACTTGTTTTGTTATGATAGGAAATAGAGATTGTTGATGACGCTTCGTATTAGGGTGACGTTCTGTCAAGAGTTATCCATTGCATGATGTCAGCGAGATTTGATATGAAAACAATCCCCATTGTTCGATTCTTCCACTCACACCATTACAAATTACCCCAGAAAGTACAGCTATTATCTATTATCTCATGTTTATTCACAGAAAGCACGTATAAGCCTGAAAATTATCATATCTTTCTTTTCTCGTTTTAATCCTAGTTCTAAATTTTCGATAAATCCGGTGGCTTTAAAAAGTATGAATTTGAAAAGGGTCTATTCGTGTCTGGTGGGACCAATAAACACAAAAAAAGGAAACAAAAAAATTGTATATCGTGTGTTCCCTCATGTCTTAACTCATACTGAGAGACACCACGTGGATTTATATTTTGCCTAGAAAGCGAAAGATATTTCCACCTCGACCAGCCAACGGCTCGCACGCAACAATGATTGACAGCTTTATTGCCATTTTCAGTTTCCTTGAAATTTGCATCACCCCGAGTCACGAAACAAAATGGGAAGAACGTTTTTTAGATTCTAGGCGATGAACTTTCCTTTAAAAAAAGTTTTTCAATAATTTATTGAGAAGTAGTAAGTATAAACAAAGCATGTCTACCCTGCTTAAAAAGGCTAATCACGATTAAAGAATAAAGATATCGTTTTTGTTCTTAAGGAACGTTTTCAACCCGTAATCTAAAGAAGTGATCTTTTATTTAACTTCAGGATTTTTTTTGAGAGCTGACGTTCGAAAAAAATGGACGTGAAGAATGATGTAAGACAGGGGCTTCTTTCGAAAGAGGATACAAATTCCAAATTGGTAAATTCGCCAGCTGATTTGGCTGAGGGTATAGGGCCACGGAGTTCGGGGGGGGGGGGTGAGGAAGGTCAATCTGTCAAGCATGGGCAGTTAATCTTGTTTTTAAACGTGCACATATACACATTAACAAAGACACATTCGCCGTTTTAGGTAGAAAACAACACCATCACGGATGTTATTGAGGTTATCGGTCATTTACAACATACTGGAAAAAACAGCTCATTTAAAGGTGAAAAAGTTGAAAAGGAAGAGAACGCAAGTCCTGAAATATACGCATAGAGAGTTTGTCTGAAATTTCCAGGGGTCTATTTGCTCCAATTTCTGAGCTATTTGCTTTCTGTTTCTATTTTCTCTCCGAAACAAAAATATTTAGCCTTATAATAGACATTTACATACTAAGTAGCTGTCAGGTGTTTATCATTGCATTATTTCACCTGTATCGGTGACAAATTTAAAAAGAAAAAACCAAACATGGTAAATTTGTAATTTTATCTCAAATGCACCTAGGTTTGAAAATGATGCGAAACGTGTTCCATATTGGAACAGTGAAATTGAGAATGGATGAAGCCTAGCGAAGATTTCCTTCTACCTCAATACTTTTCTAAAACAAATGAATAAGGGGTAAGTTTCTAACGCTGAAGAAACTGTGGTGCTGCGTCAGTAGAGGGGTTTTACAAGATAATTGGCCTCAGTAAACGATTTCTAAATAAAGCTAGAAACTCTTTTCGGTGGCTAATTTACATGACAACTCAGTTGATAAAACTAAATCATATATCATGAAAAAACAAAGCTAATTCCTAAAAGTTAACTCCTGTATTCGCCACTGTTTCCCTATATCAGAACTAAATGCATTTTGAAGTACGGGGGGCCTCCGCCGAAGTATATACTCAAATTTGAAAAGGTAATTGAAAATAAGGATTAGTAGGACGCTTTACGTTGCTCGGGAAGTGAATTGTTTCGATGTTTTTTGAGATACAGCGTTACACGACAGACCTCAGCGCGAGACTCTGGGAAGTTTGGGGTGTTTTCTCTTCAGAACCTCGTAGCGATGTCTATTGTTTATGCTTAATTTGGGAAAAATATATCTCAACTCTGAGCTGTTGCCCGACGATTTTTTAGTTTATTCATCTAAGTCACCTTCGACCAAAACTGATCCTCCTCTCTCCTATCCCTACAGGTATTGTGTCAAGAGTGAGGTGTATTTGTTTCGAAAGAACTAATTAAAAAATATATATATCAAACCAAAGCAATAAAATTGAAGTCGGAGGACAGAAAAAGCTAAACTGATATGACTCTTAAGCCACAGTGCAAGAAATTTGGCCTGCCTTACTCTTTTGTGTGTAGCGATTGAAGCTGTGTAGCGATTGAAGCTGTGCTGGTTTATGTGGGCAGAATATACTGAAGTACATCAAGTGGACATTCACAGTTTTTGTACGACGCATCTTAAATTAACTCTCGCTTGGTCCATTGCCTTTGCTGTGCTCAACGAAAGTTTTGCCTTGAATTCAATGATAAGGCTGAAAGTTTGAGTAAACAGCTTCATTTATGGATTAAAAGAGGTAAATAAAAAGCAACAACTTAGACCAGTGAGTATAAATGAATTCAGATCGCCGCCAGAAACTAGGAGCCGGCTTGACCGGCATGGTGAGTCCGATACATAGTGATTTCGGTATCTGGGCCAATAAGTTCAATGACAATATAGTTTTAAAAGGCCGATCGCGTCCTATATTCCAAGTCTCTTGTGACCCGATCCACTAAATTTAATAGTATTTGCCAGTTGCAGCTCTTCAATTGACTACCTGCTCAAAGGTAAGATAATAATAACGAATAATGAATTATCCTAAAGTCTTATTTTTACAAGGCAAAGTAAGTGTTGTCTGTGTTGGCCGGTGCGGTAAGCTTTCCTTTTCAAACAGAAATGAACCATAACAACGGTGCTCTTTATTTGAATTACTTTCTCTACACTGTAAGTTAGGAAAAGTGCTTTAGCCGTTACAAGCCAGGTTTAAGTCCCGCATTTCTCACTCATTTTTTGATTCTTAAAATGAGAAGATGTATCCATGGTGCTAGAAGTAATATTATATTTAAATATAAACATTTCCTCTCTACATAGCATCTTGCTGTGATGGCCGAGTGGTTAAGGCGTTGGACTTGAAATCCAATGGGATCTTCCCGCGCAGGTTCGAACCCTGCTCGCAGCGATATTAATTTTTCTTTCCATCCCCCCAAACGTTCTTTTTCATGTCTCTCTTTCGAGTAAGTCAAATTTTGAGTCCATTAAGTAGATGCAAAGGTTTAAAATCGAAGGGAACATCGAAATTTCTCGATGGCAGCACCCAAGTACTTGAAACGAGCATAGTGACATCCTTGTGACAATGGGGATCGAGTAAGACACCAAATGGTCATAGAAATTTACAACTCAAAGTGTTGGAGACATCAAATGAAGTGAACTAACGTTTTAAAATCTCTATACAGTCTGCTTAAAGAGACAAGGAGAGGCTTCATTGCAAAACACTCACACGAGACTGTGATGTAACATCTGTAACTGAGGTAGTATTATTGACAAACAGGTTACTTTAACTTAAATTCCTTTTCAAAATTACTAAGAATTGGTTAAAATGTTCACAGATGGCTTAAACGAAAATTTTTTTCTGCAGTCGCAACTTTTTAGATTTTGTCCACTCGCGTGATGTATGAGGGATCAGGCTCCATTTGGAGAAATTACCGTAGTTTTGGGTAAAGTGGTTATTGACCTTCAAAAATCCACAGCTTAACAGTTCTTTCACCCTAAATTAATGACTAATGATTAATACCAATTGCGTCTGCTTTAAATTAAAATATATTTTGCTTACCTCTCTCGAAAGATTTTCCGAAAAGCCGTGAGCTTTGGCTGCATTTGTAACGGACTTGTGGAATAGTGGATTTTGGAATAACTAACTCAATGTAATCGCTGAACAAGTAGTTCAGTATTTGAAGGACATCTTGCTGCGTAGTTTTATTAAATAATAAAAATATTTATAAGGGTAACCGGTCAAGTCGCTCGAGAGTCATCTCGCCCGAAGTCATGTCGCCCGAAACCTGAGTCATGTTGTCCGAAATTTTAATAATGTCGCCCGAAAAAAAAAGTCAAGTCGCCCGAAGAAACAAATACTTAAAGATCAGAATTTCAGACTGTTAATAGGCAATAACGTTGAGAAATTTTTTATCACTGAAGCGCTTTTTGTTTCCGACAACACCATGAAGATTCTTAAAGCGTTGTTCGTTCCTAACAACAGGGAAACGTTGTACGTTTCCAACAACAAAATGCAGCGTTGTTCGTTTGGTATGTAAACGTTTCTAACTCTCGGACGTTTCGTAAGCTTGAGAAATTTTTTCTTGGTTTCTAACAATACCATGAAGACTTTGACTAAATAGAAATCGATCGTATGCTCGGAATTGAAATATGTTTGAGTAACGATTCTAAAAGCGTTGTTCGTTTCTAACAAAGGGAAGCGTTCTCCGTTTCAAACAAAAAAATTAAGCTTTGTTCATTGGTATACACTGGTTTCTTACTCACTGACGTTTCGTAAGCTTAGGAAACTCTTTCTTGTTTCTTAAAATGCCATGAAGACTTTGACTACACAGAAATCGATTGTATGGTCAGAATTTAAATATGTTTGAGTAACGACTCTAAAAGCGTTGTTCGTTTCTAACAACAGAGCGAAGAGTTGTTCGTTGCTATAACAACAAATGCATGGATGCAGCGTAACATACAAGTAAAGTTCTGTTGTGTCTATTTGTGACTTTCCTAACATTAACAGATGAAAACACCTGGTAAACGAAAGTCGATTGTCG